TCCTCGGACTTGAATGTGCGTTTTTTCGGAACACTGATTGACACGGAAAATTTTGCAGAGAGCTTTGATATTATATTCAAATTAAATGCATCGAGTATTTTTAAAATAAATATTTTTATAGATACTTATTAATTACAAGCTGTAAATATTTCAAATATTTTTTTATGATGAATATATATATACGTATTATACATAAATTTATTTAATATTTGTTACTATTAAAATTCAAATCATCGTACATTAAAAAAATCTACAAAGCGAGATATGTCTACGAAATATATGTATAAGAAAATATTTACATTATAAAATTTTAGATAAATCAACATACTATTTAAAGTGTAAATACAAAGTTGTCTTTTACTGTTATTATATTTTTCAAAATATCAAATGAATTTTTCATAAATTTTATCAAATAAATTTATAAATTTATATTTACTCAAGTTAATCGATTGTTAGTATAAATTTAATAACTGATAAAATTTTTTAAAAATTATATGTTATAGATTTATTATGATTATTTCGATAAAAATTATGTATAACTAGTATGTTTTAATTGCAAATAAATAAAATTTACTTGCTAAGAAATTACATTATTAAATGATTGAATTAATGATCGCTTAAAAAAATAAAATTTTTTACTCTAATTTTCATAACTGTTAAGCAATCTTATCAGCATTGTAAATTTTATTGTAATGACAGTATAAAATTAAGATAAATTACTACTTATCCATAATTTATTCAAGTCAATATTAACAATATTATTTTTACTTGTTCTTTATGGAAAATTTTACATCGAGATTTAAAGTATATAAGAGATTAATCGAGAAATGATTGCAGCATGCTTGAATTATTTCGTTCTCTGTACGAGATAATTGTTCCAATTTTTAGCATAAACTTTCTTGGCAAAAGTGATTACATAGTAATAAAATCTGCAAGCGATAGAACCTCTCGCAAGCAAGTAATAGAACTATTATCCTCGATTATCCCAATCTCTCCGATTAATAGGATGCTCATCATTCTAGCGTTCAATTATTCAAACTGTATTTTTCCCGTAATTTTTTTATGTTAAATAACGGCATCGTATTTTATATCATATCAAGCTAGACTAATAATTGTATTACGAATGCTTCACTTCTAAGATATAATAGAACATCTTTTGTAAACCTAATATAATATCGACAGATTGTTAAAGTCGAGAAAGATGTTATGCCATGAGAGGATTAGTGAGAGGTACTAGTTAATTAAAGTTATTTCATGGCTTCTTAACGCTTGTTTCTGTCATTCAACAGAATCTTTCTACGACAAGCATATAAAAATTTAAATAGTATGTAAGTATTCATCATTTGCACAACATTGTTCGCGCTGGAGAAACATGACCACCTGTTCTCGTGTACAGCGTGTCCCAAAAAGATGTACATATTAATAATGAGATGTGAAGAAAGGTCTTATTTTATGTGTAATTTCGAGTTTTGCTATGAAAATTTTAAACATATTGTTTAATTAACAAATTGAAGTTTAGACAAATAAAAGTTTTTCACAGAAGAATTATTTATAAATCATTAAGTAAAATAATTTAGAGATTAAAAATATTTGAAATATAATTAAATATTTTCAAAAAGAAGTATTCAATTTAAAAAAATTGTTTTGGGACATCCTGTATTTCACCAGCGAATTATTTTTGCCGTTATGTCGATATTCAAGGCGTTTAACGGTCTATAACAAAATTCAATTTTCGAGGATACGGATTTAACATAATTGTATCCTGATAAAAGAACGAGACCGAGACTTTCAGTTAAGCATCACGAATGTAGCTTTTTTTTTTAAACAATCATTTTTAAAACCGCGACGAGAAAGCGACGAAACTCCTTGATTGAGCTCGGTAAATGAACTCGCAAATAAACTTTTAACACAGTCGTTAAATTTCTGGGTCATTATTTTTCAACAAGAGATATCGATTTTATCGCTCACTCTCATCCGGTTTCCATTCGTCCTTGTTACGGTTCGTGTCATGACACTACTTTATCATAAATTTATGAAAATGTACGAAAATATTTTTTTTTAAATCAACTTATTTCTATTGTTTTAATTTTCGCATTTTAATCGATATTTTTAAAGGCTTCATCGCAAAAGTTAAGGCAATGTTATTTTTCTCGTTTTCCTTGTTTTTTAAACCTTAAATTGTAACATGAATTTTGTGATTTCTAGAAAATTAACTGAAACACTTATATTTAAATGTTTATATATATTTATATGCAGAGATTCTCTTTATTAACACATTTATTAATTTAGTTTTATTCTATGAACACGAAAATTGACTTCCTAAAAGACAAAAGAAGAATATTCACATTTTAAGATAGATATTACAAATCGAAAATTAATTTAAATTTTGTGAATTTTAAAACAAAGCTTTTACTTAGCAAAGGAAAACGGTTTAAATTTTTTTTTCTATTTCATAAAAAATAAATAAAAAAAGTGATTGCGGAAAATTGGCACAAGAGATTCAAATAATTTATTAATAGACGACTCTTATTATTTTACTAATTTTATAATAATAATTTTTATAAATTTCAAATCCTTAAACGCATTCAATCTTAAATAATTGTATTATATGGAACTGAGTGCACTTAATAATATTTCGATACACGTACAATTGCGATATATTTAATTTTACGTGGCATAAGAGGTTGCGACTTTCTGAAAAAAAAAAAAAAAAAAAAAACGCGAGGGGATTAACCTTTCAAGGTGGGCTGCGTGAGGCGAATACGCGTAAGTCTGAATTAAATTGTAGATTTGTGCTAACTTCAAAATACGTGTATTAAATGGGACTGCATCTATCTCTGTCATCTCGAAATCGAAATGATGAGAAACGCGAATTGTCGCGTAAAGAAACATAATTGAAAACGTTTGACCGGTTTATTGCGATATATAATCAGATAATCGCTGATCCGCGTTAGTCGGTGGCATCGCGAGAACATTTATGTAAGCCTCGCACTCTTAAAGAGCGCGAATGCCCGCGGGATACTCTGCAAATATCTCACAATCGCGAGTAGTTAACACAGTCGCTCTCACAGCAGGCAGAGATATAGCATCCAGTATATCCAGTTCCAATAAAATATTCCATACTTCTCCCTGTCGTCAAGCGGATTTAACTGAGATTCGTGATACGAATTTTTTTACGACCGATCGGTATTATGTGTCAAAAACAGGGATTACTGTCGCATTTCTTAGAGTATCTTGCGTTAAGAAAAAAATTAATTTAATAAGAATCAGGACTCTGTTTAGCTCATGTTTTAACCGGATGTATAAAATGATATGAATAAATAAATTACTATCGTAGATAGACATTGTAATTAAATTGACAAATAACACAAATAATAAATGATGTGTAAATTACTCACCAGCTGTTCCGTTGTCAACGAATGACTCTTCCCTTCGTACTGGATTTCCTTCTCTCTTGTTCATCTTGTTGTTTCTTCATGGCACTTGCACAACATTCACCAAAGTACACTCACGATATGATCGCACGTGCATTAATCAGCAACATACGATAATTACGTTGCACTTAGCATGACATTTTCGATGTTGATAGCACACGACGCGATTATATTACGATGAAAGAATATATTGCAAAAACTACGATCACACGAAATTATGATTCGTTCAGCGAAATCGCGCGACTAAATTCATTTGCCATGACGACATCTATTGCTGATAAATATGTTTTTTTTAATACAATTACTATTTCATATTATAATATAAATAATATTAGATTATGAGTTTAAAGTTTCGCAGAAACTAATATCCGAAAATATATTTGTTGATTATTCGCGTAGAGTTTTAAAGCGCGCGATGCAAGATATATTCGATGACAAAATATATTTATAGATGTAATGTATAACTTATAAGTAATTAAATCAAAACAATAATTATATTGTTTCGATTCCTATTTTAAATAAATATATCGTGCAAAAGTATTTATTTCGATAAACAGCCATGTGCCTACACTTTAGAAGTCGTCAAAGCAATTAATTAATCACGCGAATTGATAATCTAATTGTTCAGTAAGGAATTATCGCGTTTGATATCTCGTAGTACTTGTCGCGTTTGTATCTCGAGAGATAATGATGATACACGAGTATCTTGCCTCGCGTGAATGTCAAGGACGCGACATATAAACAGTAACACGTCATAGATACGTCACAAACGAGCGCCGAAAAATTCATATTATTGCAATTGATTCATATTATTTTCACAAAGCATTCAATACTCTACAAAATAAATTTATCAAATATATCGTACTCTATGGATTTTTTTTCAAATTGATTGTAAGAAATGATTGTATCGTTTTCGGTTTTTCATTACTTTAATAATATAGGATTATTTTGTTGTTATTCGCGAGACTCGAGTAGACAGGTAGCCACACGAGACGCTTTTATATATCGCATTATCTTTTAGAAAAGAAAGACACTAATTGTAAGCGTATAATTATTCGCGCTACGATTATTATAATTAGAGATTATAAATTCGCGCGATTAATTAATTTCCGCGACAAATGATATAAAAGTATCATGGTAACGGGACGTATAAATATAAGAAAAATAATCATAACGCGATCCGGGGATAAGGAAAATTAATTTTATATACGAAAGAATTTAATCACTATTAAAAGCTGTCGTGATGGAAGAATTGTATTAATGATAACATAATAAACATAGAGAAATTATAGCAGTACAAATTACAATATAATTTTTGTTATTGTGGAACATACATTTAACATTAAATTTATTAACATGTAAGAAAAATCATGAAATATATTTTTATTCAATAACATTATAATATGTATAATATTTTAGGAGTATTGGATATATTCATACATATTTTGCATAATTCATATTGTTAAAAACAATAAAACAAATGTGTAAATTACAATTTTTATAATAATACACATCTTAAAATATCGTTACATTCTAATTTTGTAATACATGTTATAAAAGGAAATATATTTTCATGTAATTTGTACTGTAACATTTTATTTCTCCGTGTATAATATGTCTTTCTCTTCACCAGTACTGATATATTGATATTACCATAACAAAAACCTTTTCATCTATGCGCGTCGGTCCTTCCTCCTTCTCCCACCTCTTCTCCCACTCCTTCCCCCACCCCTTCCCCCACCTATTGTCCTTGTAGTGGGGTTCGTCTCACAATCAGTACGTACATACCGTCAAGGCCGCATTCCACAGTTGTTATTAAATGGTGATGTGTATCACGGCTTTTCGTTACTTTAACTTATAACGCTCAATTCTTAATCATTCGCGAGACTCGAGCAGACAACTTGAGACGTTTTATATGTCGCATTACCTTTCGAAAGACATCAAATACATGATTATTCGCGCTCTACGATTATTATAATTATAGGTTATCAGCTTGCGCGATAGATTAATTTTCGCGACAAACGACATAAGAGTATATTGCAAAACGGCTTGTAAGAATGTAACGGAAGAATTATAGTTTTGTGTGATCGTAGTTAGTGTATCGTTTTCCCATCGATATATATAATATTCGCGTCGTGTGCGATCAACTTCGAGAGTGACGTGCAAAGTACCGTGCATTAAATAACCGTATTTTCGCGAGTGAATATTGTGTGAGTGCCATAAAGAAACAGCGAAGTGAATAAGAAAGGAAAAAACGAGGAGGAAGAGGCTCTCAGAGAAGTATTGGACGACAATGGAACTGTGGTGAGCAATTTATAAATTATTTATTATTTGTTGCTTCTGCTTTTAATTATTCTGTAGTAATGATCTATTTTATATTATTATGTAATCTAATATATGTAAAATATTTCATGTTTTTTTATTTTGAAATATATTGTATATAATATATTTCATATGTATGTAATAAAAAATTGACATATAAATTTGACACTTTTCAAGGTAATAGATTTTTGCGAATATCAGATTAATATAGTACATCGATGTATAAGAGAAAAATATATTAGAAAAAACGGAGAATCAGACACAGATAATAGACACAGCTATCAAAAATATTTTATATTTATCCTTATAAATTACTTGATATATTTAAATTTTTTATTTCTATATTAAAAGAAAATTCAAATTAAAAATTCAAATTAACTTTAATAATATAAGAAAGAATGATTTAAATAAATATATTATTTATAGATTTATTACCTTGAAATGAATATTAGAACCGATTAATATAAATAGTAAATTTTCACATATTAGTTTTTATACAACAAAATATTATAAAATAATTGAAATTTACACACACACATACGTGTGTGTGTGTGTTTTTTTTAGAAAATATAGAGGTTGGTTAAATCTTATTTTAGGATCGTATCGTGATCATGATCGAATCGTATATCGATTTACATAGGTAGGATAATATAAATTCGATAATGAGATCTATAGTCCTCGAACACAGCTGTTTTTTTGTATTTGATGAATATAATTATCTTAGCTAGACATCTTTTTCTAAGTGAGATTCCGTCGATATTATTTTAATTTTAATATTCGTTCGAAAAACTTCGAGTTGTTGAGATTAATTGCTTTCAGAGAGGACAAAGTTCGTGCTTTTTTTATATGCATATATTTTTTGCAAACGATATGATGTGTTAATATAAAAATGCGATTTTGTTGAATGTTTCCGTTGAATTCATTTTATACGCCATTTAATATTTCAATTGCGATATTCGTGACTTTTATATAATTACAATTATAGATTTTGCAATTACTAATTTTAGTAAATAACACTCTCGAAGTATAAAAATTGAAATTATGAAATATTCGATCTTAATTTATTACTTTTATATATAATCAGATTAAAATAACAGTACGAATTAATATTCTGAGATAGTTTTAAACATACGGCATTCAAGGAGATAAACACAAAATATGCATTTCTTAAAAAAATAGCTTTACAATAAATAAAAAAAAGACATAACGTCATAATTGAAATAAAAATAAGTAATATATTTCTCTTTTTGTATCAGTTAACTCAAAAAAGAGAGTGATATTTATTATACATATTATACATAAATTTTAATGTTTCGATTTTGAACGGAATTTGACATTTTTTTTTTGCAAATTGGAGGTACTCATATTTTTCGCGAATTCGCAGTCGATTATTACGATACACTTACGGGTCAACAGGGCAACTGACGGCAAGTATGCAATTTAGAACGTTTCGTCAAGAAAGAGTCATTTTCTCAGGCGATTGCGAGCAAAATAGTTGATCAGAACGAATTGTCTCCGATCGATCATAAAACGTCGGACTCGCATGACCGATAAAGATTATTATATACTGCGGCGGTTATTCCGTTCTTATTTATTGGATCGGAACGCTTTGGCGGAGTTCGATCGATCGCGCACGAAAACAGGAACAGCAACAAGTCGATCGATTTGCATAGAGACCTCTTTTTTTTCGCGAGACGCGTGAGCGAGCGAGCGATTTATTATCGCGCGGCGGATGTTCATTAGACACATGTTTCTCCTTGTCTTCGGACGTAGCTCATTAGTCCGTGAGCGCGGGCACGTGATACTCGGTTCTTTTACGACTAGTCTAGATAGCGATTAATAAACGATGTTGGATTACGCAGCAGATTATTCGATTAATAAGCGTCCGTTGACCGGACGCATAGCTTCGCGTAGCTTGATTTCTCCGCGAAGGCGTCAGAATGACGAGCTACAAAATCTTACATCTTGTACTATTTATATTAACACAATGTATGTAGTTAATTTATTACTCCAAAAGAGTAATTTATATAATTAAATATTAAATAAAAATATCATTAGGAATAAAAGGAATTTCTTAACAGTTACTTCATGTTAAGAATGATATTCTTATTCTTAAATAATTCAAGTGTTATATCAACGTAAATGTGAAGAGAATTTAATGCATATAATTAAATATGAAAAAAAAGAAAGAGAGAGGAAAAAGGATTTTGCAAAATTTTTTAATGATACATTTTTTGATCAATTTGGAGTTGATATTTTCTTCGCATAAAATAAAAATATTTTAAATATATTTAAAAGTATATTTAAAATATAATTTTATAATAATTAATGAAAACTTAGAAAATATATATAAACATATATTTTTTCTTTTTTATTGAAAGAAATAAAAGAAAAAAAAATAAATTAACAAAATTATATTCTTCGTTTAATTTTATTCGTGGACTTTTTCTTATCTGAATTTTAATTTGTCTGAGTCGCGAAGATATACAATATTGAGAATTAGAAAGTTGCATTGAATGGTAATCTCTTTTGACATTTTCATTCAAGAAAAATCAACTCTGGACTGACATTGCAGTGTATACTGTGCATATCTTGTAACTTTATCATATGTCAAACATTCGGATTATAATTCAATATTTTTGTTATGACTATGAACGCATTTGCGAATATTTATCGGGCATAACGTCGAGTATCCCACGTTTTTGTGAAAGCAAACCGTGGATCTCGTTAGTAATTCGTGTTTTGCGCCCGCGACGTGATGTATCGTTCTGGATTATCACCGACTGCTAGAGAATGTAAAATATGCCGATATGGTATTGTCCATAGAGAGCCCTTCGCGTTCTGTATGTTAATTCATACATGAATAAATCAGGAAAGAAGAGAGTCGTACTGTTTGGACGATATTCTGTTCAAACATCAGACATACATTTGTTCTGTTTAGAATGTTTGCATCGCAGATAGTATTCATCGTTTTTATAGTTGTCATTGGTAATCAACGAAAATAATTCCGGTTAGATAATGATGTCAATTTGTTACGCGCTTTTATAGCCTCTAACACATGTATCGATAGATAAAGATGCAATTACTGTCAAGATGCAAATTTTTTTTTCTGTTGTGAAAAAAACATCGCATTTGAATATTATCGCTCATTGTGGATAGACATAAATTTATTACTTGGAATCTCTAATCGTCTCGTTAAAACCAAATCACATCAGAAGCGGATATCTAAAACATAAATTTTTAGCACATCGTGATTCGTGATTCGTTTTCAATACCCAATTTAATTACACAATTACCAATTTTGAAATGTAAACAATTCGCTAATTTAATGCTCAACATTTATCCTGAATATAAAATCAAATGTGAATTACATCATTGATGATATAGAATACGGATGTTACGATGTAAACAAAAAGAGATCACTTATGTAGACAAGTTGAAATCGATTCCTTTTCCGTTGTATAATCCGTCACGAGTCGCATCTTATTTTTCCTTGACTCTCTTCAGTCCTGACCGCAAAATAGAATCAAGAAGGAAATGATGCAGTTTAGATAAAAATTGTCGAGGAGAGAATCTTGCGAAATGAAAGATATTGCGACGGACAAGGAGCTTTCTAGCTGGTATACTACTGACAATCTCATTTGCTCATATCGTATTACAGTCATGTGCTTTAATCGAGTATGCGGCAGTATTCTCTTGATCTAACGGAAATTGTATTTTTTTGTCAGAATGATATATTTTCGTGCATTAATTCATTCCGTTGCAATTTCGTTTCATTTTGCTTGAAGTAACAGAAATTTTATTTTTTTGATATATTTTCGTGCATTAATTCCGTTGCAATTTCGTTTCATTTTGCTTGAAGTAACAGAAATTTTATTTTTTTTGATAATTCAATTACATATAAAATTGTGTATAAAATACGAAAAAATAAGCTTTTTTTTTTAGAATTGTAACGCATAATTAAAGTATGAGAAACGAGAATAATTTTTAATTGGTATAAAACTGGCCACTGATATAAAGCTGGTTGTGTAGGTGAACTTTCGTGACGAAATGGCGGTGTAAAGCGAAAACGAAAGTCTCTCCACGACAGCGTGTTCACGAAAATTGCGATTTCTGGCAGTGACCAACGCAGTTATTTCTCCGGGAGCGTAATATGTAATTATTACGACGTTTCACTCGCGTTTCGCCGGTATATCGTATCGGTGAAAACGCCATGGTCCGGTGTACCGCCCTGGATTCGTATTTTTCAAGTGCGACCAACTTTCGTATATGAATTTCAGTTATTTGATCCGATCGCGAAATGAAACCGTAGCGACTGAATCGAGGCGCCATTCGGTCCCCTTCGTATAATTTCTCCGTCTGATCCTGTCCCCTAAATTACGCCGAGTAGGTCTGAAAAATGCCACAAGTTGCGAGAGTGAATAGCTCCTTCTTGGTTATTCTAGTCGTAACAAGAACCATTTCATATATTTTTACAATAAGATGTACAATATAATTTAATCATTATTTTTTGATATTTTTGATTAGTGATTTTGTATTATAGGATATTTGTAGGATATTTGTTATTTTTAATATTAATCTATTTATGTGCTTTAAAAAAATGTTTCTCCCCTTCTTTGCTTGAAATTATATCTATAATTATTAATATTTTCATCAGATTATTTATATTGTTCCACTAGTCCTATGATATCCTTTTATAATAAAGAGAAGGAGAGAAATGAAATATACATATATTTTTTTATCATCTTTTGGAATCAGTAGCCTTGAAAGTAGATGGCAGATATCTTGCTGGTTATTTTTCGTTATATTTTTGTGGGCTCTTTATTTTTGCACGTTCTGAAGACGCAGAGACAATTTTAGAATGCAACCTAAAACGTAGGTGGCGACGACCGTTGAGGGCTGTCCGGTCTAATTTCAAGGTTAACAATATAAATGTAGGATGTGTGACCTCGGAGGCGCGTAAATTCTTCTCACGAGCGAAA